GTAAACGGGCCTTTACGGGTTATTTCGACTTCTTTACTTGATTAAATTATTCACGAAATTAAATTTAATTAATTAATCAATACAAGGTAAAATTACCAGTTTTCACAGCAAATTATAAAATTCAACCTTTTGAAAAAAAAAAAATTAAATTTTGGGCTGTTTTTTTCTGTATAAAATGTATATTTTCGTCCTGTTAAAGGAATATTTAGAATCGACCAATGATAAATTAATAAATAAATATAAAATAAAAATGTAAATATACTTTTGTGTCAAATTGCTTCGTAGTATTTAATTTCTTTCTTGTGAAATAGTTTTCTGTTTTTTGTGATTTTTATTCCATTATAACAATAATAATGCACTTATATACTTATGTTGTCGTGTCAGTCAGCCCAAAATCTCTTCCCTTTTGGCAGTTTTCTTCGTCACTTAAAGATACAGTTTCATTTATTTTATTTCTAATCTACCAATTATGGATCGTGTTATCGTGCTGGTGCGTGTCAACCAGTTATCTCGATCCTTAATACGGCACGTGTCAAGGTCGCCGATCGTCTTAACTGGTTAAGCAATTTGTACCTAGTGCAAAATAATTTGCCTACCTATATCGTTACGGCGTTCTGTTTACTTACTCGACTATTGATAGTAATAAAGTTAAACTCGTTTAAGACGCTCTCGCTTAAGACGATTTCCCGGCTAATACACTCATTTTTACGAGTCCCTTAATTTTGACAACATTTAGCATGTAATTAACTCTGGATAATACGCCCTATGTTCCCGGATAATACGCTCATCTTGTCGATGATGTTCATATAAAAATATATTGTTTATACATTGTATAAAATTTAAAGAAATACCTTACTAATAATAACGATAACGAATAATAAAAAATGCACTTGATCATATTAATGAGCTAAGAAGATTAATTGCATATTTTGACAACGCTGACGAAACATTACATCTTAATAAAATTGAAAACTTCCTGTATTCAAAAAACATGAAAGATAGACGATTTCTTGAAATAGGTAATATAAATGTAATAATTCACTCTGTAAAGTTAAAAATATAATTTATATGTATATAACATGGATGTATTGTAAAATATAATAAAAATTTTTTGTTCCCGCGTAATACAATTTTCCGCTTAAGACGCTATTTGTAATTGGTTCCTTGGAGAGCATCTTAAACGGGTTCAACTGTATAATGTTCATTATGATTCCTGCCAATCCCGAAATATCTGTAATTGAGCTTGGAAAATGGACCAATCCCATGAATTTATTTTAAATAAAACACTTCCTGTGGGTGTAAAGGTAAGCGACAGTTTATTGTTGCACCTCAATACCAACAATATAGGGCCTGATTCCTCGGACAATACAGCCAATGTTGCCACTATATTACGATCAGTTGTAACCGAATTAAAGAATATTTCCGAAAGTAATCGGGTGATTAATATGAAATTGAATAGTATGATGGACCCTTGTTCTACTGGAACCTCTTCCAGTGATACATTTTGTCAAGTAGCAAAACACTAACCCACGATTTCGGCAGTTCTAGCAAAAAATCGAGTAAATGCGCCTAACCGTACCAAGTTTATTATTGGTTCAGATACTTTTACCTCTACGGGCTTATCTGCTACTCTGACACAGAAATTCTCCGACCTGTTCGTCTCTCGATTGAACCCTAGTATTACTGTCGATCTACTTAAATCTGAACTGTTCTCCAAATTCGATGACATCACAGTGACCCAGATGGTCATTAAGACCATCATGTTGACACCTACATATGCATCATTCCATATTCACTTGCCGCTTGATAAACTTCAGGATGTACTTGAACCGTCATTTTGGCCCAATGGAGTTATTGTTAAGAGATTCTGGGGACGTTTTCAACCAGGTATGATCTTAAATTCAAAAAACTAAATCACCATGTCGTCTAACTCAGCTTTTATCAAAACTGCCGAGGCCTTAGAACCAAATTACCGTGTGTATGCACTTTCCTCTTCCAACAAAACTCCTAATATTTCATTTTTACATTTTAATCTACCAAGTAACTGTTCCTTTACCACTAATGAAGTCGAAATGTGTTTATCTATGTTATAAACTTTAAAATCTACCGATCCTGATGGTATGCCAGGGATGTTTCTATATAATATAAGATCCATTCTCTGCTTTCTCTTATGGTTGATATTTCATCGCTCCCTTAACACGGAAACTTTCCCATCTATGTTTAAGATTAGTTCAGTCACGCCTGTACATAAGACTGGTGATAAAACTGATGTAAGGAATTATAGGCCGATTACTATCCAAAAATATTGCCAAAATCTTTGAGCAGCTTGTTCTGAAGTGTATTCAGCCATCGGTCAATTTTATCTTAGTTGATAAACAATATCAATATGTTATAATTATTTTTACCTTTAGTTTACATTTGTTTTATTTTTTTTATATAATTACCATCGTCTATTAGATTGTTTGGCGTTGCTTACTTTATTGTTACATTTTTCGTATTTATTATTATAAATTGTATTGTACTTTTGGGCTCCTAGCCCGTTCATATATATATAAATAAATATGAATGAAATATTATTTCATCATTATTGTCAGTGCCGCAAATATTGCGTGTGCAATGCACATGGGCCTCCGGTTCAAAGGGGCCTCCTAAAGCAAAGACTAAAAATTGAAGATAGTCTGTTTCAAAATAAATCTAGCCAATATAGGTATTCATTGCTTTATCGTGACTCGTGCTTCGAAAGTATTTTGATTTTTTGTAGTTGATTTTCAATACATTAATTATTAGCATAAGTAGATGATAATTAATATTATGCAAGTACCTAGTATTTTAAAATGGATCAATAAATAATTCGGGTATACAGTAAACGGGTATCAATAATATCAGAAATTCTTTTACATGGGAACCCGGTGTAATAGTAAGATCATGGTTGTTATATTATTTAGTAGTTTAGTACCTATTTATAGTTTTGTTGTCTGTAATGTTGCTATTATCGATTACCAAGGCCGGATTAAGGGGGGAGGTATAGTCGGGGTGGTAGCCCCGGGACCATTTCAAGTACCCAAGTGTAAGGGGTCCAAAAAATTTTAAGCCAACAAACATTTTTTATCATACTAAAATTAGTAGTTTTATAGACATAAAATGTATATACTTAGTAATTTTACAATTTTATAATGCAATTGACAATTTGTGAAATAGTTAAAAAAAATGTATCGTTCTGCGAGTGTAAGGAGCAGCTTTGTAAAGTATGTTTTGTTAAAAGAGCCCATATAAAATGTCAGCCCCAGGGCCCAATAGGTGCTTAATTCGGCCTTGTGGATTATATTCACTTATTGAAGGCCTCGACTTTATTGACGTACATATTACAAGAAAATAATATTATAAAGTATAACAGCATAATTTGTGGAATATTAATCATTATCACAGGGACCTTATCTGTTACCTATTGCTAGTGGCGGTGTTACTGCAGATTTCAAGCGGTAAATTGTATGCTTAAAAAAAATCATTTTATTAACCATTAAATTAACCTTAAAAATATAAATTATCTATGTATATTTATAATTGAAATGGATTTGTCTTTAAGTTATCCAGATGTATTGACTGCATGTCTTTTTTTTTAACATTACCAAATAAGTGTTGGGTCTGAAGAACACAGCTTTTCTAAGCTTAAATTAATAAAAAATTATCTTCGTAATTTTTTATCACAAGATCGATTGAAAAATATAAGCATTTTGAATATAGAAAACAAGCGGACATGAGAACTCAATATTGATAAAATTATAATAGACTTTGTCAATGCAAATACTAGAAAAAAAAAACGCTTTAAAATAATTTAAATTTAATGCGAATTAATAAATAGTTGATTATTATATTGAAATTGATTGGTTGTATTAAAAAAATAAAATTTAAATGCTAGAGTTAAAATTAGTGATTCCATTATTAAAATTGATTTTGGGCATTTTATTCGTTTTATATTAAATAACTATATTAGATACCTCTATAGTTAACTAAAAAATTTATAATACAAGCTTCTTCTCAAATAAATTAGAGTAGTATATGTATCAGATTATAGATGATTCAATTCAATTTAAAATACTAAAAATACCTAATAATTGTTGTAGTAATACAAAAATCAAGTAAAAAAATGTAATATTCATTCGGGGCCTCAAAATTAATCCTTACACACGAGTCTCATAATTCATAATTGTGGCACTGATTATTATGTATCTATTATTGTAGTCTCAGATATTCCTTATTTTTGGGGCTTTGAAATTTTTTTTTAAAAATAAAAGGGCTCTTCGAAAAAAAAAGTTTGAGAACTACTAATATAGAGGAAAAACGAAAAAGGTGTAAGACCTTGTTAAGTGCTACACAAATTAAACAAAATATAATTCAAATAAATCATTTAACATATATACCTATATTTTTAATTTTAATGCAATGTAAATATAATATATATATGACATTGCACACCACGTTCAATAACTGTGAATAACTGTTGGATTGGCATACAACCAATACAGAGTAGTAGACCCTAAACGTACTTTGTATCATAAAACATTCAACTGAGCCTGAACTTTAAAATATTCATATTACACTTAAATGCTATGGTGTGCACTTAACTTTACACTACTTGAGATCTTTTGTTATACTTGGTTAGTACATGATAAAAACTTATCAATTAATGTGTTAAGATGATACAAACAACTAAACAATTGTAAATGATTACATTTAATTACATACATTCAATAATATGGGATACAGTGAATTAAATTTAAGATCTATATTATTAAAAAATAATACAAAGTGTTACCACCATTAATGCACAGAATATTTTATTTTATCAAATATCAAGTTAGTGAATTAATAATTAACGAAAGGAGCAAGGATCATCACGAAACATAATATTCCTATGATTGTTCTAGTAAATTTGTTTTTTTCTTTCTATGCACTTGTTATACAAATATTGTATACAAAATTAATCCATAATTGTGAAAACAAAATTACACAAATATATGTGACAGTTGAAATTAAAAAATTAAATACATTAAAAAAAAAAGAAAAAAAAAGGTTAAAAATAACTTGTTTAGGCATCTTTACCATTTTCAACTGGCTGTTCAGTTTCCATTGGCTCATTTTCTCTTTTCTCTTCTTCCTTGGGTGGTGGTGGTTCCACTTTAGGTGCAGGTTTTGGTTTGTACAAAACTTTACTTACATTTTCTTCTATACTATGTTTTTCTCTAACAAATTCATCTAATTTGATCGGAATGTCTTTATATAAAGGAGTAGCAGATACTTGGGCTGCCTTTTCTTCCAACCACCGCTTGGCGTTATTCAGGGTTTCAGCTAATTTATCTACTTCAGCAGCATCTAAATGATTGAACTGTTCGACTCCTTTTTTAAATGCATCAATGTCCCTTTCAGCTTTTGAAATTAATTCGACAGCTTGGTCTTTTACAGATGGAAAAGTTGTGTACTCAACCTTACGTCTTTTAATTGGTTCACCAACACCTTTTAACACGTCCAACTTCTCTGAATAAATATTTTTAATACAATCTTCACCATCTTCATACAACCAAATTTCTAGATCTTCCAATTGTTTAGAAATATTTTCTCGGTCAGCATCCACTATATAAGGTGCTAAATCATCTTCATTAGAAATACGACCTCTCATATCATAAATATATTCTTCAAGGCTATTACGAACATCAATTCTTTCTTTCTCTTGACGATCGGCTGCTACCATTTTACCTTCTTGTTCAATGTAATTATTTAAATCCATGGTCGAATATCCATGTGTTATTGACTCAATACGCAAATCAATGGTCTTTGTAACAGATTTCTTCTTTTCATCTTTTTTCTCTTCAGGTTCTACTGGCTGAGTTTCTTTTTCAGATGTTTCCATTGTTTCCGAAGTTGTCACTGGTTCATCTTGTACTTCAGATTTTTCTAAAAGTGTTGCACTACTTATACTAAATATACCGTGTATATTAACTCTAGCTTTAACTTTAACTTTCTGACTGGCTCCATCTGACGTTGGTTTGACATCACGAACAGTAAATTGACCAATATAGCTGTCTGCATAAGGAATAGGACCAGAATAATGTGCTTTCACAGTAAATGGAGCTAGTCTGTAAAAAGAGAGCATTTTTGAAAATGGAACAGGATGATTTTTAGGAAAAACTTCAGCACGACCATCATCAGAATTGTCAGATGGATCCCAAAGAAGTTCAATTGGAAAACTTTGTATATCAGTTACACTGAAATCTCTTACTCGAACAGCAGGTGACAACATTGCACATTGCAAAGCACAACCTCGAGATACAGCTTCATCTTGATTTAAAGTTGTGCTTGGTATTTTTCCAAATATTTTTTCAATTAAGCTCTTAATATATGGAATACGACTTGAACCACCAACAATTTCTACCGAATAAATGTCATCTTTACTCAATTTAGAATCTTTGAGACATTGTTCTAATGTGACTTCCACTCTATTGAATAAATGCATAGCCAGTTCTTCAAATTCTGTTCTCTTAATATCTGCATGTACATCTTTATCATCCATAAAACACTCAATGTTCATTGGCAGTTTAGTAGAATTTGCAGACATTTGTTTTTTTATCTTTTCCACCTCAGCTAATAATCTTAAAAATGCTCTGGCATTAGTTCTAGGATCAATATTATATCTAGATTTGAAATCTTTACTGAAATGCTCAGCTAAAATGTAATCAAATTCTCTACCACCTAATTGTGAATCAAATGTACTGGCTAACATCTTAAGTTTTCCTTTATTGAATGCACAAATAAAAACTTGTAGAGAAGTATACCCACAATCAACAAATACAACATTGCGAGGCTTTTCTTCAGGATTAGGCAAGTCTTGTTTATAAATACCATAAGACAGAGCAGTGGCTGCAGTTTCATTAAACAAACGTAGAACATTAAGACCAGCAATTGATGCAGAGTCAAGAAGTGCCTTACGTTCAGCATTGGTAAAATATGAAGGAACTGAAATGACACAATCATTTACCTTTGTTTTAAGAGATGTCTCGGAAATCTCTTTCAGCTTGGTCAGTAGCATGCCAGTAATCTGTTCTACACTGAAGGTGTGCTGCTCATTGAGATAATTGACGTTTATCCCAATTTTATTGTTATCGCACTTAACGACATTGAATGGCAGGTGTTTGAGCTCCTGTTTGATGAACGGGTCATCGATGGAACGACCAAGAAGTCGCTTGAAACCGTGAATCGTGTTTTTCATGTTTGTGACCATTTGATTCTTAGCGGCCACGCCGATTATGCGATTTCTGGGGCTGAAGGCCACGCATGATGGTGTCGCTCGTAAGCTGTAATCGTTAGCGATCGTTTCGATCCCACCAGCACGGGCTACAGCCACATAACAAGATTCATTTCCGAAATCTATGCCGATTACGGACATTGTGGTCAATAACTTATTAAAACTGATCGAAAAAAAAACACGTGTGTAAGAGAAATGCCGCACAGAATAACTCGCGAGAACTGACACACAAATGATAACTAACAAACTGAGTCACGCGAATCAGAGCCGGCAAAAGTGAATCGATCGGAGGGAATATTCTAGAATGTTCGACTCGTTGGATGACCAAACAGTTTTGTATTGTGGAGAAGGGGTATCGCCATTCACTACAGTGAGGCAAACGTTTAATAGTTGGTAGAAAAAATTCTCAACAAAAAATTTGATTACTTAAAATTTTTTGATTTGAATTTATAAAATACCCATATAGTAATTTTTAAATAATCATTTAATTTTCAATTTATAAATTATATAAATATTTTTTCAAAAAGTATAGTTTTTGTTGTTTTTCAAAAAGAACATTTTTTTAAGGCTATATGTTTAGATAACGCCCACTATCATAACTTGCTTATAAGTCTGTGTTATCAATTGGAATATTATTGAATAAACAAATTTAATTTAATTTCGGTTATATTGAACTAATTATTCAAAATATAATACATTAAATTACTAATTTACCTAATCATAATAGTTTTATATTTACTTACTATCGAATACGCAATGCCTTTGCCTCCAGCGTTGGCTAAGAAGCTAGCAACTCGCGGAATTCTCTCAGAAAATGAAGGTAAAATTTTAATATTCATAACTTGTCTTGTAAATAATATTTTAAAACATATCTATTATGCTTTTATAATTAATATATACACAAAATATTTATTAAAAGTTACAAAATAATCAAGAATTTTTATTTTTAAATTATGACAATTAAAAAAAAAAAAAATGTTCACTGCTTTCTATATATTTAATTTTTCAACATGTATTCATATTTTTTTTTCAAGATTATTTTAATTAGGTTGAAATTTATTTGTCATAAATTTAGCAAAAAATAGTACAAAAGTTGTTGAAGAAGAAGTTATAGCAGAATGTTACGATGATATTGAAGATACAAATGAAGTATCTGGTTCAGATTCACAAGACAGTGATGAAGAAAATGACAAACCTGATCCCAAAGTCTTAGATAAATTTAAAGTAAGTATAAGTTTTTATACTAATTTAAGCATAAGCAATTTTATAGTTCCATAATAATTTTATATGAAGGGTCATCATGGCTGTCCAAACAAGTCAAATGTTTATCATGAATGCACAAAGTTTTGTGAACAAAGGTGGAAAAATGGTATTAAACGACCAAAAAATGGATATTTGAAATCTAGAAATGCTATGTTAGAAAAATATCCTTTACCCAAAAATTGGCATGAAGTATATGATCCTGGAACGTAAGAAATTTTTTTTTAAATTTGTTAGATTAATTACAAATTAATAAATTAACAAATAGTAAAACGTACTATTCATATCTACATTTTATGTTTAAATTAGTTTGTTTTTATTTTTGTTTCTTAATTATTTGTTAAGCATGACTCATGTGTACTTACAATTTACTTTGTACATAACCCATTTTGGATTAAATAAGTTTAAATATACATATATTAATTATAAAATTATAATACTAAAATATTTAACAAATTTTTGGAAAAAAAATCCCTATTTTGCTCTAATATGTTTTATTGTTTAGTAGTAAAATTTATAAACCAAATTAGATGAATAAACTAAGTAAAATATTGTTATAATTATGAATGAAATGAATGTTGGAGGTTATAAATTACTTTATAATGTTATCTGATAGATTTCCAAAGAATTATTTGACAGTGGTAAGCATATTATTGCATATATTATTAACTTAACCTTGGATATATTAGAAATGCAATATTTTTCAGAAGTTTTTTTTTTATTATTTTTATTTATGAAATCAATATTCATTTAGGAGGGTAAAAATATTAATTATTACATAATTAATGGTATTAATCGTTAAATTCATTTTTTTCTAAATTAAAACAAATTCCTTAAAAAATAATATTTTAGTATCTGTAATAAAGTATTTAAATTGTAATATATTTGAAATGACTTGCATTAAAATAGGCCAGTATTAACCTTTACTGTACCTGTAATTAAATGTATAGTATCTAGTTAATAACACTAGGTTTTAATGATAGCTATCTAATGTAGTTTTATAGTTTATTTTTTCTTATCCTCAGAGGCAGATTTTATTACTGGGATGTAGTAAATGATTCAGTTACCTGGCTACCACCAAGCCACCCTCGTTCAATAGTTACCGATTCTGTTGCACAGTTTCGATTTGAAAGACATGTTATTATGCAAAATATGGATAAAAAGGCTTCAGACTCGGAGGTAATTAATTTAATATAATTAAAATGTTGTACTAAATGGTATTTAATACAATATTAAAAATATATGTACATGTGATTATGTTGACTTATTAAGTGGATAGGATTCAAATCATTAATAATATCTAACTATTACACATCCAACATAAGAGTTATATTTTAGTTATAGTTATAGTTATTTTTAGTTATATTTTCTATTTAATATATTTTTATTTGCTATAACATTTTGTATGATCAGCTTTTCTATTTTTTTTTAATTTATCTGGAGTCTGCTTAAATTAATAAAATAAAATAATTTAATAATAATTTATTTGTTTTATATTAGGCAAAATATAAATAAATCTCAAGTACACTTTAGAATGAATTAAAATTTATTTTTAGGTAATATCAAATTAATAAATAAATATTAATTATGATTTGATTCTGTACATTCTTTTGGAAAATACTTATTTTAATAAACTATAGCTACTATTAAAAAATATATGACTTATGACATTAGTGTCCAACCTTTTGGAGACTGGTTAGGAAAGAAAATATATTTTTATTTTTATAATTAAAAGAAAAAAATTTTGATTAATTAATTATGCTCCCATTCACCTGTAGCATTGCTAAATGTCATTTCTATGTGGTGGGTGTATTGCCGGTATAAAAAAAAAAAATTCCACATGCAGCCCTTGGATTGGACACTCTTGACTTATGATGTGATATCGATGGTGATCATCTAGAGCTTAGCTGAATCTTCATGTATTAAATTTTCATGGCGAGCTACTATAACTTAAAAATCTCAAATATCAATGAAACTGTTTCAACATTATACTACCAAAGAATACTCAAGTATACTAAAAAAATTACCACATTATCATTTAATAATTCATTATCCCTATTTATCTGAAACTCTGTTCCTACCTAAAAACTCTACTAGATGCCTTAAATAAAGCTGTTCTAGGAATCTTCTAATGATAAATCAAACCAAATTAAGTCTATACAGGTTTTTTACATCTGTACACTTTTCTGACCAAGTCCTTCTTTTTAAAAACTTTACTTATTTTACCAAACTGTATAGATGTTAATAGCAATAATAGTATTTTTATAATAAAAAATGAAAAGGACTATTGCTAAAGGTAATTTAGGCTAAACTTTATAATTAGCTGTATTATTTAGTTCTTGATATAAACTAATTTATTCACTATTGTGCATTAATTATAAATCAATAAATCAAAGTTGATTTATCGTATTGTATATCTTTAGAGTAGTAGTGATGATAGTGAGGATGAACGTCAAAAGAGAAAAAAAAATCCTTCCCTACCACTTGTTCAAGAAATTCGTGCCAAAGAAGTAAGGTACGAAAGAGAACCAAAACGTAAAGATCCCCCAAGAAGAGTAATAAAGTCCAATGATCTTGATCCAATGGATCCTGCTTCTTATTCAGACATTGCCAGGTAACATTGAATTATATATTAATATTATAAAATATTTTAATAATTTAGCATTCAATTAGTATGTCATATAAATTATTGAATTAAATTTTATATTTATAAAATTGTATATTTTGTCAATCAAATTATTTTAACTTGCATACATTTAATAAAAAAAACTTTGGCAGAGGTTCCTGGAGTGATGGGTTGACTAGTGAAGCTAAATCTGGAGTGGACAGCACAGCCTCAGGACCAATATTTCAAATGCGACCTTATCCTAGTCCTGGTGCTGTTTTACGAGCTACATCCGGTCAAACAAAACGTAAATAAAAAAAGAAAAAATTTAGTATATCTTTAATTTTTATATTTCACTTCAATTTTTTTAAATTAAATTTAAAAATAAATAAAATTGAATTATAGCAGTATAATTTAAATGTATTGTTTTGTGCATAAATATTTTACTTCAAAACATAGAAAAGAGTAATAACATTTAATTGTTAACATTGCTTATTTCAATAATCACACATGGAGTTAAATTTAAAAATACTGAACAAATGAGGGATATAATTTTTTGGTTAATCAGTTTTTCAAATATTGGATTATTCACTTTATGTACTACAAATGTTGGGTGCCATTGAATATCTTTAATCATACTTTTTATTTTAATTAGTCCTTTTTCCAAGTTCTGATACGAAAAATGATTTATTTTATTTTCATTTATGATGATCACATATATATGAGCTTCTATTGTTTCATAGTGTAAACATTGACCGGCCTCAAGTTTAATTTTGTTATCTTTATAATATTGTAATTTGAAGTAGTATTTTTCATTGACTGATTGAAAATGTTTATCCCAATATACTGGTAAAGATGTATTTAGCGAATATAAAATAATATTTAATTTTTCAAATTCTCGCTTTTTTATATCCTTGATATTTTGACTTGACATTCTTAAAACAGTAGGATGATTAATCTGAAGTAGATCTTTTTCATTTGACATATTCTATACAACAATTTTAAATATTAGTGATTTTATAAAAAAAAAAAAAGTATAAAATAAATTACTTGTGTAAAATGACAAACTTTAATTTCACATCCAACACCTTGAAATAAACATTTAATGATATTTTTTACTATACACCAGTCTAATTTATCAAGACCACAGCCGATACGTGGAATAGCTAATTTTTTTACACCATGTATCACAATAAAATCACGTAATTTTGTTATGGCTGCTGTTAGACTTTTATAGGTAGGTTTTCCATTACTGAGTTTTTTTGAAATCAAATAATAAATAAATCGATCATTTTGTTGTAAAAAAGCTACATTTCCAACATCTGGTCTTTGATCCATCAACTCGCCAACTCTTTCAAAAATGGATCTAAAATTATATTTTACATATTATTATAAATTAGAGGTTAAATTTAGGTTAAAAATATTAGGCAGAATTAATATAATTGTTCATTAACTTGAAATATATTGCGATACCAGCACTCATGCGCATATCACTAGCTACACAGTGTCCTAAGGAATATTCTACTGGCATATCGAAAATAAATGTATTAACTTCTTCAATAATATTTTTATGATCAGATTCAGATTTAGGTTCCATGAAAATAATATGAGTGTTCCTGGAATTTTAACATAAAAAAAATTTAAATTAAAATAAAATCTAGTAAAAATTAAACTTAAATAAAAAATATATAACTAGGTAGGTTCTAATTTTTTATTCTCAATGAACATACATTTTTAATGAAAAATAAGAAACCACAATAACTATTTTTAGTATAAATTTATATTTGAAAAATAAATTTTAGGAGAGATTAATAATGTAATAATGTTGGTATTAATAACTTATACACGCTAGCGGTTTTTAGAATTTTTAGAAGTTCTTTGATTTTATATTTAAATATATTAAGACATAAAAATGTATAACCCATTAATAATTTATTACTTAAAAATTGAATTCTTATATAAAAAAAAAAAAACATAACATAATATTTTAAACCAAAGTGTCCTGAAAACATATGTCATAGCCTAAATGCAGGACTTGAGGGAGGGCTTGACCCTCTGGACCTTCCCTGTAAAACAATCACTACTTATACATAAACAATTAATTGAAGATACTGATTATAAATTGGAATATAGTATAATATGGATAATATAAAAATTTAAATAATTATGATTGAGTTTACTAACAACAAAATGGACCAATTGAGGACAAATTATGATACTTGGTCCATGCTTATTCAATATTAATAAACTTTGAACATTTAAATTAGTGGCTTTTGTTTTATACTAATATACTAAATACATTGAATAAATATTGAACATAATCTAGTAAGATAAAATGTTAAAAATTGTACTAAGATTGAATAGTTTTAATTACTCAAGAATATCAATTGCTATTGAAAAAAACTGCTGGAATAACTGTATTTTAAATATTTTTTAAAATCAATCAAATAAGATATCTATAATTATCAATAATAGAATAAATAATTGAGTACTTTAAAGGCCTTATTTTAATTTACTTGGGTGGTAGATTAATCTCAATATTAATGTGGCTTATCACTTACCTATTATTATAATAATTAATCTGTTATGTAAATTGTAATAGTTAAAAATGTTTTTTTAAAAAGTGGACTTACCTTTAAGAATACTAGTAAGGTCGATTATGTTCGATAAATGATTGACTCATGAACGGGTAAATCAATTTGTAGAACGGTAGCTAACTATCAAATTTAAGACAAAATTATTATAAATTAAATGATTAATTTAGTATTAAAGTTAGATGGAAAATTATTACAAGTATTTGATAGTAATATAACGTACTATTGAAGTACAATTTATTTAAAGCAAATTGTTTTTCAATAATTAAACGCCTGTTTACTACTACTTACTTACATGTTACTATACTGTTTTCATCATAATCAGATACCTGTTAACAGATTATCATGGGAAATAACTTACGAATTTCTATCTTTCTGAAAATTGAACATAGATTCATAGAATAGACTAATAATGGATAATATTTTTTATTAGATATAGTTTTGAAAACAAATTTAAACAATGTTTTATTATTATTTAGATAACATTAGTTAAATACTAACATCCGTATTCTTAAAATGATTGCATTATTTTAATTATATAAATGTGAAAAGTAAGAAAAACGCGGGAAATACTAAAAAAAAAAGGGAAAATCCAGGGTCGTATTTACTATTAGGCAGGATGGGCAACCTATGGTTTCCGTTATTCCGTTTATTAGAATTTGATGAACTTTTTTTTTTTTTACAATACAACTTAAAAATAATAACAAATTTTGGTCTGTGGTTGAAGTGTTAGCTCGTTTATTATAATGTTCTTCACAAATTCAATAATAAAAAGTTGAATGAATAAACAAGATTATAAGTGATACAGCTGAGTATTACAAAATAGGCGGTTACTTGTAGTTCTAAAACCGGTCCACAGTCCTAACGCTCTAAAGACGGCTACTTGTAGCTTCAAAACCTAACCTGGTATCAAAATAACCGATGCTCTGGGCAGGGTATATACAATCCATCTTAACAATAATGAGTGTTTTCACTTAAGAATGCTGCTCCATATAGTTAAAGGTCCAACTTCTTTTCAAAGTCTTCGCACAGTGCAAAATTTCATTATGATACTTTTCAAGGTGTATGCAAAGCGTTGGGTTTATTGGAAGACGAGTTTCATTGGAAAAACACGCTATAAAAAGCTTCTATATGTTGTACACCTAAATCACTCAGATGTTTATTTGCTATCATGCTAACGTTTTGTCAAATTACTGATCCTTTGATGCTTTGGCAAAATTATCATGAAAGTATGATCGACGATATACTACATCGGAAACGACTGGAACTGTCATCAAATGATATTAGTTTTGACCAAAGTATATTTGATAAAGCTTTATTTGAATTAAACAAAGAAGTGAAAGTTTTATCGGGATAATCTATAGTACATTTTGGGTTTTCTTTACCGATAAACATGAGTAGGACAACAATTAATATTGAGTGTTAAAGAGAAAAAAATTATGATCAACATTAACTATTACTGTTCGTTCAAAATGGAAATCAATTAAACCGTAAACAAAGAATTGTATATGATTTAGTGATGTCGTCTATTAACAATAATGAAGGCAAAATATTATTTTTAGATGCGCCTGAGGGCACGGGTAAAACTATTTTGATAAATTTAATTCTTGCAAAAGTTAGATATGGTGTAAAAATTGTTCTTGTGGTAGCATAATCTGGCATTGCAGCTACGCCATTAGTAGGGGGCCGAACAGCTCATTCTACATTTAAACTTCCTTTGAAATATGATAGTGACGATGCTATGAGTGTCTGTAACGTTTTAAAACAAAGTGGTACTAGTAAATTGATGTAGGACTGTAGTCTAATTATTTGAGACGAAGCGTCAATGTCCTAAAAAACTTCAGTTGAAGCTTTAGATAGAACAATGCGAGACTTACGTCATAATAATAGTCCTATGGGTGGCTGCACAGTGTTGTTCTCTTGAGACTTCCGTCAGATCTTGCCTATGATTGCAAGAGGGACAAGAGCTGATGAAGTCAACGCGTCTTTGAAAAAATCCTACTTATGGCCTTTTATAAAAATATTAGAACTTAAAACTAATATGAGAGTGCTATGTACAGATCAAGATAATATAAATTTTGCCAAAGATTTACTTTTAATAGGCAACGGCCAATTTCAAGCAATGGATAATGAAATAAATATTAAAAGTTTCTGTAATTCAGTACCCACTATAACAAAATTAATTCTAAACGTAAACCCAAACATTCAAAATATATCTGCTAAATTACTGAAATGGTTTCAAGAAAGGGCTATTTTGTCACCAATAAATGAGCAAGTCGACAAATTAAATGATTTGATTCTATCTATATTTGACGTATAATCACAAATGTATTATTCAGTTGATACAGTTTTAGAAAAGGAAGATGCAGTCCATTTCCCAACTGAATTTCTTAACTCTTTAACGCCTTCTGGAATTCCACCACATACATTGATTTTAAAAATAGAGGTACCTATTATTTTAATGAGAAAATGAGCTCACCCACACTTTGCAATGTTACAAGACTACAAATCAAAAAAATTGAGTAGTTCATTGCTTGCGTGCATAATATTAACGGGTTGTGGTAATGGAAAAACTTTTTAAATACCAATAATACCATTTATACTCTCAGATTTACCTTTTAAGTTTAAACGTATTCAATTTCCCGTTAAATTAGCATTTGCAATGACTATAAATAAAACATAGGGACAAACACTTAATGTTGCTGAAATTACCTAAACGTTCAATGTTTTTCTCATGGTCAACTATACGTCGCCCTGTTACGTGTGACATTCAAATTTTATTTGTATATTTTTGCCCCCGATTTAGAAAAAGTTGATAACGTTGTTTACAAAGAAACTTTTTAAGTTTTTGAATTATCAAAATACTGGCATAATTCATATCTTTTGTTCCATCCTACAACATTTACATACACGAACTCTAATTTTAGCGCTTCGTACATTAAATCTATTAAATAAAAAAAATTTGCAATAAGCATCAATTTTTCTATTGACACAAGCGATATAATTTTTTTTTTCAACATTATGAAAAATCCGCGGTGGCGACGCTAAATGTATATGGATACATTAGGTACCACTGAGACGTGACCAAAAATGGTCTAAAATAAAAATAATTATTTAACATCCATAAAATAAATAGCAAATTAATATCTGACAAATCTTGCAATAGCGAAGCATTACCGGGTCAGCTGGTTATATTTAATTTTTTTATGAGATGTCTCAGGACAATAAGTTTCAGAGTTAACAGTTTACAAATATCGGTATAGACGTTTATTAAATAAAGTTTTCATAAATAAACGATGTCCAAAAAAAATGGGTCTTATATTCTTAATTTCACATTTAAACATAGTATACAACTCTTCCTTATATTTTTAGCCATGTCTAAATTTGGTACTTTTAAAATCTGATATTCTTGATCAATGGTACCTATTCATGAAAACATAGGAATCACTCTAATCTATCAATATAAATAAGTTGTCTAATCATAGAAAGTAAATTTCAATAATATAAAAAAAAGTAAATTAAAACCACATGAAATTGTTAGTTAATTTATAGATTACTTACATAATATGCAAGTTATTAATGAACCCCTTATTTCATATATGTCTACATACTTTAATACATTAACACAAGTAAGTAATTTAAAATTAAAATTTTAAAATATAGTGAAATATTTCTATCAATAATATATTAATATTCTATATATTAACTAAATAGTAATATTTAATAATTTAGTGGGTATATTAATATAAGCCTAGTAAATTAAATAAGAGGTGCCATCAAAACTTAAATAAATATTGAATTTCATTACAGAGTTATTGATTCTAAAGATTTTTTGGAAAGACTTAATTTTTTTTAGTTCAATAATTAGCATATAAACAATAATATTCTATTCATGAAAATTTTCATAATATATATACATATATTACTAAACAATTTTTCCTTTAACTTAATGTTACATTGAGCAAAATTAAATGTACTTCATTACAGAAATGAAAACAATAACATTTATAAGCAATACTTAATAAATAAAAAAATAAGAATAATATTTTATTCACAGCATGTTTAAAGAATATTGTACAAATGTTAAACTGGATATACACCGGAGTATTTAGGTGTAGTGCAACTGTAACGCTCAGGTGTATACGGTGTTACTGTATCATTCGCGTGTGTTCAGCTCGCGACGTCGTCGATCCACCCAAGTGTCGGTTTTTTGACGAACATCAAGAATTAATTATTATCTCTTACAATAATTTGAATCTTGTTTTGAAATTTTTGGACCGATCAAATTAAATATTCAAAATCAATAGACAAAATTCTAATGAAATTTCTGTATTGTCCACTTATTTCCTGTTACTGAAGGTTATTTAATAAATCTGTTCCACTACATATGTCCATATACTTCATTAAATTTGTTTGCTACCATCTCCTTTCATGTTTTTTTTGTTTTTTTCTTCTTTTTAAAATAAAATGAATTAAAATAAATGATGTACTAGCGACTTGTAAATTGATAGAAGACATTGTTGCATGAATACAAACCGTGAATAACTGATGGATAGATCGGTGAACAACCGATTCAGAGTAGTGCTCGACTCTAAATGTACACTCCGGTTGTTTGTAACATTCAAGCGAGCTTAACTCTGTTGCATTACACCTAAATGCTCCCGTATGTACCCGGCTTTAGACTCGCGATGTTGTTGATTTACCTGAGTGTCAGTATTTTGACAAATATTAAAGAAATGTTACATGATAACACAACGCCACTGTAGACTGTAAACCAGTTGCTCGCAGCGAATCGCTCGGTGATATACTCGTATATTCATTTGATATGTATTTGTAATAACTGATGGATAGACCAGCGAACAACGATTCAAAGTAATGCTTGACCCTAAACGTACACACCGGTTGTTTATGACATTTAACATTCAAACGAGCACGAACTCTGTTACATTACAATTAAATGCTTCGATGTGTACCTGACTTTATATTGAACAGTGTAATATTATTTTCATTAAATTCTGATACTATGATAAAATTAAAGATAATAGTAACTAACCAAATATGATATTAATTACTTTAAGTAAAATATATAAAAAAAATAATCATAATAATTTTATTTGTGTTAAAAAAATAATTATATTAATTAATCTATTATATTAAATCATCTTCACATCGAATAAATTCGCCAATATCAGCTTGATTAAAACATACAACAGAGAGTGGATCTGTATGTTTACACTCTGTAGTACTTTTAGCAGCAACACCAAAACCCTGAAAACAAATAACTAGAATTAAATGAGATATAAGCAGTTTGATATATATAACTTATTTTGTGTATTAATGTATTGAAATATAATAATTATAAAAAGAAAGTTAAGTACAAATTATTATATGAACTATAAAAATTGAAAAATAAATAAAAATAAATTATTAAGAAAAAATAATTAATACATATTTTCTTTCATTTTTAGATCATAAGAGTAATCAATTTTAAGTTTTTTCTGGTTATTTACCTAACTATTATTCAGAATCTAAAGTTTGAACAAAACAATGAAGCAATTAACTAATAAATAATATTAAAAATAAAATATTTTAAAATTATATTAACCAAAGGCACATCACTCATTGAAAATACAATTACTCCTTGATATTGGGTTGTACTTTCTGTAATTCGTCCGAGACCAGACTTTAATATATTATGACCATATAGAAACTGTTGTTCAGCTGCAGGTTTAATCCACATTTTGTGCTAAAAAAAACTTTTAATTAATATGAAAAAATACAATATTTCAGTACATGTAATATATTTTTACCTGAGCATATGGAGCAAGATAATCTAAAGAAGTTATGTGTATTCGAAATTTTCCAGATTTTGTAAATTTTCCAAAACATGTGCCAATACTAATTATGTTATCAGGATTCATCATAGATCCCATATTCAATACTTTTTCAGATACATAATAAACCCTATCTTTCTTTTCACGAAAACAATACTTTCCATCTGAACGATCAATTAATAGTTTTATATTTTGGCCTATGCTAAACGGAAATAAAAAAAAGAATATTATAACATTTAAATTTACAAAAATTATAAGTACATGTATATAGATGTATATTGTACACGCAAATATATGTTACATAAACCATATGTGGTTGAATTAAATACCAATGTATAATTAAGTACCAATAAAAGGTGAACCTATAAAGGTAGATATATTAATAATATTAATAAATACATAATATATTACATATATATTAAAAATATAAAAAATGTCATTAAAATTAAATTTAAACATTATTAATGCAAGCTTTGTAATAAATATCACATTATTTTATACTTAATAATATTATTGGAATACAATTTGTAGAAAATTAAAAAAAGGTGGAAATAAAATATTGGCATGTAGTTTGTACATCAATCATTATTGTACATAAAATAATGATTTCCTAACACTGCTTTAGTTATTTTACCATAAGTAATGATCATTCATGAACTATATTAATAAAGAAGGTAATGGATATATATATATTATATATACCTATCCCATTATATTCCAGTATGGCATGGTGTTAATAATAACCGTATTAAAATAGGAAACGTGTAGATAAAATAACTTACTATTTCGATAGTTTTTCAAAAAATATTTTCATTCGTTCATCAGTTAATTGCTTCATTTTTAAATTTAAAATAAAATTTAAGAAAAGGATTTTTTACTTTAATAGTTAATTACTCAATTGCATTAGAATTTTAAATCGTAAAATGCAAGCAAAGAATTTGAATTGTTACTCTTATCAGAAATTATCTCAATTTGTTGATCTTTTCCGAGCACATGATAAACGTAACCTAACTTTATAAACAAAAATAATGTACAATAACAAGTTATGGAGTAAAAATATACACTATTATCACAGATTATATGAATTTATAATATATTCTAATTTAATCTGTGCTATTATTGTTTAATTTGTAATTTATAGTAGAAAAAAATAAATATTTTAAATTTAATATGTGAAATAATTAAAACAAAGGATTAAGTATGCAGTTATTGACACCATAAGGAAATCTCACTCTTATTGTTTTTATATTTGGTGTTCAATCATGGTTAACATTATTAAATTGTCTTTCAATTTATTTAAAATCTTGTTATCCTTCCAAGTTTATTATAAAAATTGATATTGAAGTAAAAATAGACATAATAACTATAACTATTATGTTTATGGGAGATTACAGTGTAGAGAAGATTTTTTTTTACACAAAGGAGTAAACGAATGGCTTATCTATGTTTCAAAATGTTTGATAATGGTTATGGCCGTTATTATGGCATCACTAATATTCAAAATTGTATAATTGAAGAAGCTATGTGGTATGTACACAATTTCTCACGTCTCAGTCTCGATAGAGTTTTAGAAATGAAACACGAACGAAATTAAATTGTTATAATTTATTACGCTGATTTATAAAAAATTTATTATTTGGTTATTAAAATTTTTATTATTGTGTTAAAGTATTGTGTTTTTTTTATTCTAATATGTCTTAAATATTGATAAATTAAAAATATTAGAATTATTGTCTTTCATTATTAAACAACAGGCTAAGGTAAATTATTTAGTTATGACTTACGAATGAAAAGAAAAACCTATATATATATATTAATTATAATCATTATTCTAAATAAAAAATATATATAAATATAAATATTAAACAAATATCCACATTTTAAACTTATTTAAAGTCGGTACTAAATATTTTTAAATTTTTATTTAAGTTTGAAAATTCAAATGGATTGTTTATTATAAGTCTTATCTAATTATTACATTTGGAGTAGGTAAATTCAAATTTATTTTTTTCAATTTGATATTAATTTATCTTGATATCCTGTTTCCATAGGATATAATTCATAAAAAAATTATTATTTGGCTGGTAGATTATACTTTATGACATAAATATTGTGATTTTTTTTAAAAAAAAACTTACTTAAGAATATTGTATTAATTAAGTAAGTAGTTAATAAAATTAATATTACCTCAAATACAATTAAAATATAAATTTACTTGTATTAAAAATGCCTGATACAGCAACAGAAATGATGTTTCATTGTCAGTATACTTAAAATAAATTTAAAATTTTAATATTTAGTGGTGGATTTAAATTTTTTTGATTCTAAAAAATAAATATTCAAATTCATTTTGCTTCATAATACGTCTTCAAAAATGTACTCGACACTAAAAATTCTTACAAAAATTCTCTTATTGATATTAAAATAAAATATTTAGTACATTATAATATACATATGAATATATTTTATTTTCATGTATTTTAAGTAAAAATCAATAATTTAAAGTATAACATAGGTACTTGTTATGTTAATATTTCAATAAATAAAAAAAAATATAAGTATTTTATTATTATATATATTGTAGTAATAATTTAAATTGAATTGAATTACTTTAATATTTATAGCTATTTTATATATATTTTTCAGAGGATGGGTGAATTAAAGCAAATTTATCTTTTAATACATAGTGATATTGCCAAGGAAAATATAAAAGAAGCATTTATTACTTATAACACCCATTACAAAAATATTAAGGATATTGAAGGATTTCAAAATTTTACAGTTAGTGTAATTAGTGCCTTGGCTCAAAAACTTCAATCTGAATTGTCATCTAATAACCAAACTATACAGTCAAGAAAAAACGTTGATTATGTTATTAAATTTGGTGATCGTTGTTTTGAAATGCCTAAATTGTCAGATTTACAACATTTGCAAAATAGTCTATATGTAATTATTAGATATTTACTTTCGTATAATTATGTAATTGAAGCTGTTCGTTTTAGTAATTATTTTTTAAAGTATTCATCTTCTCCTTGTGATATATTGAAGCATCTAGTTCAATTATTTGCACATTTCATACATAATATATGTCCAATTGATGATGATTTGAAAAAATTAAATGTTATTTTGATGTGGGATGCCGCGTTAAACTTAGTGAAACAATATACCGAAAAAGAAATAGATTATGCATTATATTCATTAGCAATGCTTGTAAAAAATATAAATGGAAAAATATTACATGAAGGTCGCTCTATGGATTTAGTTATTTTAGATATGACTTTAGAATCGGTTTTATCATCTGTTGTTTTTAGGAAAAAGAGTGATCAAGATAATATGATGAATTTATATTCAAAGTTAATTGAAAATATTGTGGCTGTAATGCAAAATATGATGCGTCGTAAACAGATACAAATACAATTTTTAGTCAAACATATTGAATTAATGATTGATGTTTGTAGTTTGACTAAAACTGAAAAAGAAGATCTGTCATTTTTGATTTTATTATTCAAATTTATCGACAATTCAGTGAAAAATGGTCTGGATTCAAATTTTGAAATTAGGAAAATGATTACTATTGTTCAGAAGTATGAACCCTGTACAATACTGCCAAATACTATGTCATATCATGTGATGAAAGCTGCTATAATTACTATTACTAAATTGAAAAACTTATGGTATGATGAATTGATAATTAACTCTTCTGAAACTGTTTCGCAAATGTTTCTCCTGTTGCAAAATTTATTTTATTTAAGTAAAAATGGTTCAATTAGTATGATATGTTGTAAAAGTAAGAACTGTGATCTCTATGAGGATTCAACATCAGAAATGAATTTGATTAATATTGTATTCATAATGATACGACACATTATTAGTACTAATGTTACATTTTTAAATTCAGAAGATGTCTTAAAGTGGATGAATTTGTTTACATCTTTATTTAAACGAGTATGTAAATCAAAATGCTCGAATAAAATTCCTTTCATTGAATTTTCTTTAACAAGTGCTTACAATTTGTGTATTCAAAAAAATGTTGGTGAGTTGAGTAATTTATGTATGGATTTTTTGGAAAATGTATGTTTGATGCTAGATCCTAGTGGCATTAATCCAGATCTTGTAGCTCGCGTAGCAATTTTATTAAGTCGTTATTTATATAATAATAATAAAAATGATGATGCTTTAAAGTGTATTGCCTATTGGTGTGTTCAAACTCGTTCTGATCTTGCTGCCCAGCAATGGGTTTGTCTTAAGTGTAAAGAAGAAAAAAATAATCGCTTTGTGAAACAAACAATTTTGAAAATGTTTGATGATAAATTGCAAAAAAAATGGCCAGTTTATAGTTTAAAAAAATCTGATTGTATTGAAATAATGTGGTTGGAATTAAAAGCCCATAATTATCAATATAAAGTGAAACAAGACATGACTAGTGTTCTAGAATTGTTTGAAGACTTAATGAGTAGTAGTATAGTACCAAGAGAGTTAAAGTGTCGAGTTGTTGTTACTGTTGCTTATATAATACTTTATTCAAATAATATAGATGGTTTAGAATCTGTAATTGATGTATTGGAGGACTACATTTGTAAACTAGAAGTAGAAACATCAATAGAGAAAAATAGTATGCCATTGGTTATGGGCTGCTTATACTATGCAAGTTTCATATGTTCGTTTAAACATTTACAGAACCGTGTTAGTAAAGAATTAGATTCATTTACAGAAGAAAGATTGGAACGTGGTACAGAGCTACAAAATATTATGCAGTATGAACCTATGGCTTGGATACATCCATTAAAAATTAAACCTAAAATATTTAATTACTTAAATTGTGCTGTTAAGAATTGGTCTAATTTAATTAATGATACAATCAGCGATGAGTATTATGTTAAAATTATTTTTGAAAGTCTCCATGAAGCCGCCTTTGTATTCAAATTACATTGTGACCCAAAAGAAGTGGAAGTATGGCAATTATTATATAAATTAGCATCTAATATTAAGTCTCACAAATATATTTTTATAGCCCTTTCAGAATTAATGAAGATTGGTCGAAAAAATGATCAATGTGATAATTTAGAATTGGATAATTTAGCTAAAAAATTACCTAAAATGGCTATTAATTATAAGTTGACACTAGTTACTATTTTCTTAAATCAATCCAAGTATAAAGATGCACAAATATTGTTGGACAGTATTGATAAAGAAGAATTAAATAATTATACTATACTAACAGCAGAATATTCTTATCTGAGAAGTCGTTTATGCTTTGAATCAAGAAACTTTAACAATAGTAAATGTCTTTCTATATTCATTGAAGCTTACAATCTTGCACATGGTCTAATTAAAAGATTAGATTCTTTTTATGAATATTTGGTTATGCATTTTGTAATATTGAGTATATGTTCTTATTTGAATTTAATCTTTGTTAATACTTTAAAACCGGTTGAAGCCCGCTGTTTTTTAAAAGTCCAAATGAAAATAGTCTTAAAATCTGTTCTCACCAAAAGAGCATTAAATGTATTTATAATGAGTTGCTGGAATGAATTAATGTGTTGCAATTTAGAAAATGTTAATGGACAGTTAGAACATTTGATGATACTACTGGATTTTAAGGAAGATGAATTTGATTCAAAAATACAATCACTTACTATAAGTCACTCTACAAATATTTTGTCTTCTCCATTGTCAGATTATAGGTGTGTGCCTAACAATAGAGTGCGTAAAATGGCATCTCCTTCCTTAAAACAATTTAATAATCAAAGTACACAGATGAGTATCACCGAATTTTGTAAAAGTGTTATCAGTGGCAATGTAACTTATGATTCAATAATATTATATTCAGTTATTGAAGTATGCATTATTAAAGCTATTTGCTGTTCTATGGCCAACCAACAAAATAAAGCTGAAAATGATTTTAAAATGATTTTTAAATTATTGGAACTTGTTGAACCACAGTTTAATAAAAATGAAGT